GCACACGGCGAAGGGTGTCGGTTGTATTTATATGAATTTGCTGATCAGGAGATTGCATTTGAACTCCAAAAATCCAGCTCCAGCTTTGACTTGTTAGAACTCTGCCGATTGCTTTGTTGACAAAACAGGGGCCCTCTCTTATTATTTCTTAAGAATCTGTGTCGATGAGGAATCCACTGTTTATAAATATTTTTTTTTTTTTTTTTTTTTTTTTTTTTTTTTGCTTTTGGACATCTAGCTAGAGTGGAGTGCTATGAGCTATCCAACCACCATATTAAATCTACAAAAGGGCTCCTCTATTAACAGATGAATGTGAGTATGGTGTGGAACAATTGAGATTGACAATTAGTAGCAAAGCTCAGTGGATTGATCTTTAGGCTTTCCATTTATACTTTATGTGATTTTACTCAAAATTATGAGGTGATCGGAATCCAAATTTAATTTGGTGGGTAAGTGTAGATTAAAGAAGCTACCGCAGTTATACAATTTTATTTTATGAATACTTTGTTGAATCATGACTAGCGGCTCAACAACGATGACATATGATACAAGATAAGAATGAAGTCCGACCGTGGTATAATGAAATGGACAACCGACAAAGAAAGTAAGTGAATGTGCATATTTATGTGATTCACTGTCATGATTATGTGTTAGCTAGGTAGTCCAAGTTCAGGAGATCCAACGCCAGTTTCGTTATTTTGGGGAGAGTGTAGATTGTAGAGGGATTTACGAGATTTATATAGACACGTTATCTTAAACCTAAATATAAAAAGGCAAGACCGTCGTGACTCCCATTCGTAGACTAGATAAACTAATTTAAGTGATATCAATAAATATTCACTTGAATTCTTTATCAAATACCATATCTACTAGAAGCAACGAAAGTCGCCAAATGTACCTAGACTCCTTATTGCCTCAATATGTCCTTAAGGGCCAACAACAACTCATAACATGAATAAACTTAAGTAGTGCAGGACCATGTTGTGTGAGAGCAACTTGGTGAGTACATCAGAAAGATTACTGACAATTTCATAACCTTAATCCTCTTCGTTGTTCCCTAACAACTGCCCCCTCCCCCAACATGCATATGCTTAGTCCTATCATGATGGAGTTGATTATTGGCCGGATATGTCGCACTCGAACTTTCACAATATACAACATCATCATGATGTATATCGAGATAAGTCTTTTCAATCGTACCATGTTCTCTCCATAGTATCTTTTTCTCAACGCCGTGTATTGTGCTTCGGTAGTAACAAACAAAGTAACTTTAGATTGCAGAATTTGTCTTCCAACTAACCCAATAATCTCCAAGAGTGAATACATAACCAACCATGTATAGATCCCCCGTGTCAATGTCTCCATCATGATTAGAACGAGAATAACACTATGTATCACTTTTGTAGATGATTCAAATATCATATGTACCTTTAAGGTGATGTAAAATTCTATTAGCATATTGCCATTATTTCTTTTGAGGCTGTCTCATGAAACATTAAAAACATGTGCAAAATCAGGTCTACTACAATAGACCATAACATGCTTCAAACTTCCTAATGCATTTGCGTATGTGACTCAACATAAAGTACTCCTTCTCAACTTCAAATTGAGTTGCATAGATATAGAACAAATGAATATTGGGAGCATTCAGAGTATTTATTGGCTTAATTGATGACTTGGAAAACCGGACAATATTGTTTGACTTCGACGTGACAACAAAAACTTGTTAATATGTGTTTCCCTATAAATCTCAATGTTCCTTCAACTTACATCATGCTTGGATTTTGCAGTATTGAGCATCTCATTAACATATATAACTAGATAAATCATTGAACCATCATCAAACTAGTCGTGATATACACAACATTCACATGGACTCATGTTCAAGTCTAGATCAATCATATTAGCTATAAGCTCGTGTACCATTTACCTGGAGTTTATACAAAAACATATAAATTTATACGAAACACGATCCACATTTCTTTGAACAAAGTTCAAACAAGGGTGTTCGATGTTTTTGACGATCTACGAGACAAATCTAAATCTAAATTAACTCTACTACTATGGAGGTTCAGTGAGAGCTCAAAAACGACAACTATGGCTATGACTACATTTGCAGATTAAAGAGAAAAAAGATAAACATTGACAATAGGTTGTCTTGTGTAAATTTTGTAAAAGCAGTTTCTTGTTTGAGCTTTTAGACCAACTTTAATGGTGGGCTGAAATTCCAAAAAATTGGACCCGCACCACTTTAGTGAGGTTGTAAAATTGTAAAATGTCTATTTTATCCAAAATTTGGGTCCAATTTTGGCCTAGAAAATGACAAAATGTTCCAAAAGAGAGTGTGGCCACATGGGGGGAAAAGGCAGACGGGCTACCTGCCAAATAGAGCTTTAATAATAAAAAAAGAAACAATTTTACCTTTTAGCACCCACAATCTCCTCCAACGATTCTTTCAGTCCCAAACAAAAGATCGACATTAATTACGTCATATTTACAAATAATTTTGTTTGGTCGGAATTCAAAATTTTTTTATCAAAATGTTTGTCTTAATTTATTATTAGTACCTATATAAAATAATGAACAAATTTGTAATTAGAATGATGAAATATACACAAAACTGGATTATGTGTTAAAATACAAATATGAAAATTTGGACTTTTGGAACACACTTCTAATGCCAAAACACCTTTTGAGGGGCTAGAATTTGAATAATAGCCCCAAATTTTGTAATTTTGGATCTAATCACTAAAGATGGTCTTAGAGAACTACTTTTTAAAAAGCAATTGAGTCTTTGTCTGAAAAACTATTAGAAGTATTTTTTAATATAAAAAGTCATGTAAAATTACTTTAAAGAATTTATAATATAAAATACGAATAAAATTTCTAAAAAAAAGAAAAAGTAGTCTAAAACTCAAACTGGATCTCATTGGATTTTTTCTATTAAATAATATTATTTTGAACTTTATTTTATTTTGAATAGAAAATAATTAAATAAAATTAAAATATGTCAAGGATTACACCCTTAGCGCTCGTTGATTAAAAAAATGATAAAAATAATCTTATATTTTTAAAATATTTTTTGTACTTATTCGGAGTTTCTGCTTTTATGTTATATAAAACACTCTTCAGCTTTTCAAAAGTTGAACTAGGTGTTTGATCCTAATTCATCTTCTGAAAATAGAAAAACACTTCTAAAAGTTTGACTATACCAAATAGATGTTTCGCTTTCATACCTTTTAAAATTTGGTTCGGTCATCACTATGGCATGATGGGAATTATAATGACCGAATAAACTTTAACATAATGCGACGTGAAAACAAACCGAATTTGTTTGGTATTTCCTTTTGAAAAAGCAAATTGTTTGGTAAAGAGAGGTAGGTTGGTGATCCAAATTTTTTGGCAGGTTTAATATTTCGTAATATGATTAGTAATTTTTTTTATATACAAGGGTGATATAGATTATTTTTTTGTGATTAGATACTAATTAATAGATTCAAACATGAGACCATCATACTTTATTAAGTATTGGTTGGGTATAAATATCCATTTATTTGATGTTGTTTTTAACAATGCATACGAAAATTAGACCTATTTGTAAAACATAAAAAATTTAAATATCAAAATGTAATATATAAAAAAATTTAGTGCTAAAGTGTAATTTCCTATCAATATCTTGACTCTTGAGGAATTATGAATCCAACCCTGTCTTTTTTCCCGTTTGAGGAATTATTAATCAATCAACAGTACCGTTTAACAAATTAAAAACAAACACACTTAAACGGGGGAAAACTCCAGATCATTACAAGCAAAAGAAAACAAGTAAACAAAACCAAATTGTAGACCCATTTTTTCTCAACTCCCCCATGGGAACAACACCTACGTCTACTACACTCTACATGAACAGAAAGAACAGAGAGAGAACAGAGCAAGAGAGAGAAAATGAGAAGAAAACCTCGCCAACTATCAACTATGTCCTACTACGACTAGTACTACTACAGCTGCTCTTCAGAGAGTTCATACTTCTCCTTCTTCCCTTCAATTTTTTTTTTTAATTTCAATCATTTATACAAAATAAAATCGTATTTAAGAATTTAAAATCTCACACAAGATAACGAATTACTCGACGCAAATCTGTTATGACAAAAAGCTTTTATGTTTTTTACATTAAGTTTCCGATTCATACCATCGGCTAGGGGTGGGCACGTGGGTGGTTAATCGGCGGATTGATATCGATCCACCCGTAAATAACCCGACCCACATACAGTGGGTGATTGATGTGGCTGGATTGCGGATTGTTAAATCTCCCACCTACACTTATGTGGGTGAATTGGTGGGTGGATTGCGGGTCATCTGTATGACCGCGTCCTATTTTTACATGAAAAATATTATTTCTTATAGTATCAAATATTCATCATATTTTTGAACTGCACTACAGTCTGACCATATACTTCAAAAGGTGGAGAATAAAGAATAGTTTTGACTACTATTATTGGGTATTGTATTGCAATATCCATTGGATATTGGTATGCAAATTATTGTTAATATCCATTAAATAGTGTGATACAAACTATAAATTATTAATTGTATCAAAATCACAAATTATTGATACAATCTTACTAATTTGCTATGAATTTATTATAAATGTTAGTCAATTTTCTTAATGGCTATTGGAGAATTGCTTTTGCGGGTTAATCCAAGACCCAACCGCACTCATCCGCCACCCACCCAACCCAACCCGCATAAGTATGTGGGTGGATTGCGGGTCACATGTATTCCAACCCGCTAGTAAGCGGGTGGGTCAATTTTAAACCAAAATCCACCCAACCCGTCCATTGCCCAGCCCTACCATCAGCATAAAACAATCAAATAAGTAAATGAAGCGAATTAAAATTTAAAAGAGGGAAAGTTTCTCGTTGAATTTCAGTGACGTTCACCCTTCCCCCTTCATTTAAGACTCCCTCTCCCTTCATATATACCACCTGATTTCTTCTCTTTCTCTCTGCTTCCCCATGTTTCGATGATGTCCCCAGATTAACATGCTCCCTGTCTCCTCCCAAAACCTCTCCGCTACTAACAGATTGGATCCCGATTCATATAGCTTCGATCTTTACCCCCATCTCCATGGATCCTCCTCCGCCACCTCCAGCCCCGCCGCTGCATCCCTCCGACACCAGCTTCCCCATCATAGCCATCGCCGTGATCGGAATCGTCGCCACCGCGTTCTTGCTCGTCAGCTACTACGTCTTCGTCATCAAATGCTGCCTCAATTGGCACCGAATCGACATCCTCAGAAGATTCTCACTGTCGAGAGGCAGAGCTCACGAGGAGGCACTAATGGGTGCTCACTCCCCTTCGGCGATGGAGCGTCGGGGACTCGAAGAATCGGTCATAAGGTCGATCCCTGTTTTCAAGTACACCAAAACAGAGCAGGAGGAAAAACAGGGGAAGTCGGCACCGGCAGGGACGTGTTCCGTGGAATGCGCCGTATGTCTGAACGAGTTCGTCGAAGAAGAGAAGCTGCGGAGGATCCCCAATTGCGGCCACGTGTTCCACATCGATTGCATCGACGTCTGGCTGCAGAGCAACGCCAACTGCCCGCTCTGCCGGACCAGCATTTCCTCCTCCACGGCGGCAGGAGTTGGGCTGCTGCTTTTCCCGGTAGGCCAGGCTTTTGGGTCATCTTCTCCGCAGGATCCGAGCCCAACTCCGTACCCGGAAAGGATAGACATCGACGGGGACGAGGACTACGTGGTGATTGAATTGGGGAATTACGTCACCAATAGTCGGCAGAGCTCCACGGACCGGACGCTGCGAGCGGCGCAGGAAAGGCTGATGAATTCAGGGGAGCTTCTGCCGACGCCGCGAAAGCTCGAATCGAGATTCGGCGCTGCATTGGATGAGAAGAAAGGCAGGAAACTGGGTAGTAAAGGGATAAGAAGTAAAGGAGATGAATGCATCGATCTCACTAGAGGGAAAGAGGACCGGTTCGGGATTCAGCCGATTCGACGGTCGTTTTCGATGGATTCGTCGGCGGATCGGCAGCTGTTGTTGAAAATTCAAGAGATTGTTCAGCAGCAGAGCAGCTGTAATAGTGGTAATAGGCAGAATGGCGAGGTGGGTATTCCAGTTGAAGGTGGTAGCAGTAGTTTTAGCAGGAGCAGAAGGAATTTCTTTTCGTTTGGGCATAACAGAGCATCGAAAAATGCAGTCTTGCCTGTATCTCTGGAGTGATTTTCTTTCTTCTTTTTGTTTGTAGTTTTTCTTGATTTTCATAGATAGAGAAAGAGAGTAGATTCTGTGATATATCTTATAAGATTACACATCATTTGATCATGAAATCCCTCCCTCCCCAAATGCTTTACTTTCTTGCTTGATTCTCTTTGGATTCGTTTCTCAAAAGGCTGGGCCAATCTGTTGTTGAATCAATCTGACTTTTGCTTTTGTTTAGAAGCACACATGATTGCGAACAAATCACTATTTTGTTTTTCAGTCATTTGATTAATCAAATGCAATACAGATTCCAGTAATAGTGGTTAAACAATTAACTGTTGATCCACCGTCCCGCTGTTGAGTGGATGCGAATCTCTGGCTCCCATTGGGGTATTGAAGTATGGATGAAAGCAATGGATTTGGTGCACTTTTTGTCTCGCCTCAATGAGGATAGTTTTGATGAAAAGTCAGTTACCAGAGAGAGTGGTACCGGGAGGCATTATAGGCCCGTGCACAATTTATGGGCAATATATGTGATCAAAGCAAAGGACGGCAGAAAAAAGGGAAGTATCCAAGTCCAAGCAAAACAAACAGGTGTACCCCTCCACCGCCTTTCCGTTGATTTAGGAATTGCAAACAGTATGAAAGGAAGAGAAAAAAGGGCAATCCTGTGTTAGCCCAATCTACGAGCCCCTGCTCACAGATGTTGTGAGCCGTCAGATCGAACATTAACCGCATTTTGGTAGTTGGATGTACGCAGTAACGATTTTATAAATAAATTACCATTGCATCCATCAAACGACGTTCAAACTTTTGTAAGCACAACTGATTGCAAGAAGGGGACCCTGACCTCCACCTCTCATCGGCCACCACCCTTAGAAAATCAAAATGTCAATAATGCTACCGTTTATCCCGAGCTAGTGGGGTCGGAGGAGCTACAAGATTGTGAAAACCAAAATTTAAAAACATGGGTTTGGATGGATGAAGAGAGGGTAGAAATGGGTCGTTTTCAAAATTTGAGATTTTCTTCATATGAATCAATCAATGATGATGACAAAGAGCTAGCCAACAACAACAACAACAACATGATGCTTTTTCAATAATGCCCATGCCCCCAACCCTCTGTTTTCGGTTGGTCAGGGTTTGGTAGCAAGTTCCTATTCTTTGCCCTAACAACCTGCTCGCCAAGTTCTTAGCCAGCCAGGCTGTAAGAAAAAAGAAAGAATCACGAATTATGAATCATCATTACCATCAACCATCATCAACGTTCAACTAAACAATGCATCCACCAATATGTAGCCGTGGGGTGGATTGAGTCTGAGTTTGTTGAGTTGTTGGTGAATAGTGGGAGAGCAATCAAGAGAGATGCGAAACGGGGCATGTGGGTGGGAACGAACGCACACGCTGAGTTGGAAACAGAGGAATGCGCAGAGAAGAAAACAAATAAAAAGGATTATTTGGTCGACAGAGTCGCAGAAGTCCAACGCGGAGGGACAGTGAAGCTTGCAGCTACTTCAAGACACCTCCTCCTTTCTTCCTTCCTAGCTCATGAAAAGGAATCGAAATTATTCAAACCTAAACAGCGATGTATTCATTATTGTTTAACATATATTCTGGACTGGAGGGCAGTGTGCAGGGCAATAAATTGGTTCCCAATGAGTTTGAGTGTTTGACAATTTGAAGTATTCTTACCATTATCGCCGGTGGTTGTTGTTGTTGTTGTTGTCTTGCTGTTGGTTGTGGTTGCGAACTGCGAAGTCAAACATATATGGCTCTCCTCTAGTTGACTAGTTCATAGCAGCAGCCTCTTCTAATGAGCATCTTCTCGGGTCAAGCCATGTGTTTTGCTTGTATGGGGCTTAAGTATCATCTTGTGCTCTGTTTTGGGTGATAAAATATGTTACATTTGTTTGTTTGATAGAGAGAGATTGTAAGTAGAGGTTGTTGGGTTTGACTATTTACTAGATGGCTGAACTTATCAATGAGAGATAAAAGTTGATCCCAAAAACAATTTGTTGTTTACTAAACTATAAATGACAATCACTTGCTCCTAGTTTGACTATTTTACTAGTTGATTGAACTTGACAAATTGAAAATGGCCACTTGCTCACATAAATAATGTGTGTCATCTACCAACACATTGTTGTTCCCATGACTTGGAGAAAAAAGAAAAAAAAATTATTAGTGTCCCCATGTTACTAGTGAAGTGGGTGTGTAGGGTAAGGTTGATGCGTAGTAAATATACCAGTGATAAAAATCATAGATATGCCTAGAGTCGTATTTTACAGGGTCTTTTAATAGTAACTGTTCAAATCTAACCAATTTAATTAGAATGTATGCAATGCAAGAAAGTAAAAGTAATGGGTTGAGAGCTACTATGCAAGTAAACAAAGCAAAACAAGAATGCAAGCAAAGAAAGTAATGTTTAGGTAGCTCATTCTAGATGGTCATGCATACAATCTCCTCAATAAGATGCATCTATGCATCATCTATCATGATGCCATATGCCTTTCTCTATGGTCATTTTCTACCCATGCATGCGCCTCTTGCGAGAGAGATTTGACTAGCAAATGTGGATAAGAAAGTTCAATACTGAAATTGGTGTGCTTCCTACCACTCTCGACCCCATAAAGCTCTACTGTAACAACAATGGAGCCATATCATAGACTAGGGAACTAAGGTCTCATCGGAGATCCATACCAGTTATTAGATGTTTCCACTTGATCCAAACAGTAGTGGAACATGACGAGGTACATGTGTGCATTATCGCGTCGAAGTGCAATTCGGTGGATCCACTAACAAAACTAACTCACACAAAAAAAGCACGATGGACATTCCTAGTCTATGGGTATTCGCCAGATGATGGCTGACTTATAGTGCAAGTGGGAGATTGTGAGTTATGGTACCCAAAAGCTGACCATTAGTTGTTACATCAGTTTCCTCTAGTGAGATACGAGACATTGATACTAGTATATGAAAGACATCTAACATGTTGATGTGGCTTGTTATATAGGCATGGAGGTAATGTGGTGTTTAACTAAAGTGTTAGACCGAGCCAAAGTGAGATACGAGACATTGATACTAGTATATGAAATTTTTTATCATGTGATTGCACCATATTCCAATATCAGTGTTTTATGGACAGAAAATAATCAAGTAGATTGGGGATTTTGTTAATTTGAATAGTAAACATATGGGATAGATGAAATAACTTATCATTAACCGAGGTGTAAAATAATAGATTAAAAAAAAATACTAAATTACATGTTTGGTCACTTAATTTATCATTTTTTCCTTTATGATAACTTGATTGGTAGTTGGCGGATTGGGTTTTAGGTGGACTAGATGAGTTTCTCATTCAAATCAACATTTTTGCATGTCATGTCGTAAAAAATAATAGTGTTAATGGAGTCTAATAGAAATAGACAATCAATTATCATTAATGAAATAGAGTTTAAAGTGGGCAACTAACAAAAAGAAATTGGGTTGTGCTTGAATTAATGGGATGATGCCATATTGACATTATTATACACATTATTCAGTTTCCTCTAGAATGCAATTTTTTTTTATAACAAATGTGAAAAAATAACAAAAATTGATAAATTTGAATTAGCAACGTATAATTTTGGTCGAAGAAACCCGATCCATTCCTAGATGTTTTGTTTGACCAAGAAAAAAATTAAGAATAGGGAATCATTTTCATTTTGGATTCCCTCTCTCAGTCTAGTGTTTGTTGCCCTTTCAAGCTTACTTTATCAAGTCTCATCGTCGCTCGAGTCGAGCACCTATCTCCGCCTGCCAAGATGAAGATTATGGTGGCCGTGAAGCGAGTGATAGACTATACCGTCAAAATAAGACTGAAGCCCGACAAGGTAAAAAACCCTCTTGAATCACCGCCGTTTCAACAGTGAACAAAATCGGGATTCCTCATGTGTTACCTTTTCTACGCATTGATGAATTTGTTGCTTTTAGAGCGGAGTGGAGACCCAAAACGTTAAGATGTCGATGAACCCATTCTGCGAGATAGCTCTGGAAGAGTCTCTTCGAATCAAGGAAGCAGGATTGGCATCTGAAGTGGTCGCCGTAACTATGGGCCCCAAGCAATCTATCGATACTCTTCGAACGGGTCTGGCCATGGGGGCCGATAGAGGGATTCATGTGGAGGCCACTGGCGACTTGTTTCCTCTTGCTGTGGCTAAGCTTTTCAAGGCTCTTGTTGAGATAGAGAAGCCCGGTTTGATTATTCTAGGAAAACAGGTTGATTCTCTTGAGTTTCTTTTTCTGGGTTCTTATATAAAATGGAGGAAGGTAAACTTCAGCTTGAACTTTTTATGTGCTTGGTTGATGTAGGCCATCGATAATGATTGTAATCAAACTGGGCAAATGGTGGCAGGGCTTCTAGGTTGGCCTCAGGGGACATTTGCTTCCAAGGTTAGTTGTGGACTTAACCGTCCAGTTGTTCTTCTCAAGCTAAAGCTGACTTGCTTGTTTAGCCAAACTTTCTTGTAGAAGTAAAATGATCAATCCCGCAGCTCATAGGCAATGAATGAATAAGAACTGTGGTTATGAAACCTTTTCCTAATGAATCACGTTCCTAACAAATGTTCTTCATGTTGCTTTGTCTTCTTGAACGATCGTTGTCGGTTCAGTTTGTTGTCTTGCTCTAAATGTTAGCTTAATGGGCTGTTATACTGGTTCTAGGTTGTATTGTGATTGAGTTTGAGTTAGACCCTGAATGTGAAATGTGGACAGTCATCTTGTAACACTTGGAAGTATGAAGGATACTGTTAGCATGAAGGATTTATGAGATTCCTATCAGTTGCAGTTAGCTCGTGATGTGAAATGTGTGTAATGATCTTATGACACTAGGTAGTGTGAAGGGTAGTGAACTGTTAGCAATCATTAAAGATTTACTTAGGTGCATATCCGCAATCATTGTGAATAGCTAGAGTAAGACATGTTCAGATGCAGTGGGTGTTTTCTTATGAGCTTTTGCATGATTGTAAATTATGTTCTTCTCTTTAGGCAATCTCTTTTGTTCTGCATATTTTCTAACTAGTAATTGCTACTATCTAGTAGGTGGTGCTTGACAAGGAGAAACAGGAAGTAATGGTAGATCGAGAAGTTGATGGTGGTCTGGAGACTGTGTGTTTAAACTTACCAGCAGTTATCACGTAAGCATATGATCCTCATTTTTCTTGTCTTTGTTTGCTTAACTTTCCACTGCTGCACTGTGATTCCGTGTTGGTTTATTTAGTTGCGTGTCACTCTGTTGTGTATGATCCAGAAAAGAGATGTCTTTCTTAGAATTTCTATTTTGTGCTATTACTAACGAAAATGCTTGCGTGGTCTGCCAGAGTCGATGGTTAGAGTTGTGATGTAGGGGGTAGCACCGACAGCTGGGAAGAAAGGCATAATCTTCGTTATATATCAATTCAGCATGATTAAAATCAAGTTCTATATTCTGCCTTGTACGGTTTTGTGGCTGCATTGAAGGTTCAGTTACATCCCGCAACACGTCCTTCCCCTTCTTATGTCATGTTTATGTAGCTCAACTTTACTTGGTCTTCTTCTGCAGCACCGATCTAAGACTGAACCAACCGAGGTATGCGACACTGCCAAACATTATGAAAGCAAAATCAAAGCCCGTCAAGAAATACACGCCGGAGGAGCTGAATGTTGGAACAAAGTCAGATCTAGAGGTTGTTGAAATCACATAACCTCCCAAGAGGAAAGCAGGGGTGCTGGTTTCTTCTTTGGACGAGTTGATCGACAAGCTTAGAAATGAAGCTCATGTCATTTAATATCGATGTTGATTTACCTTCTGAGTTAGCATAATCCAGTTATCCTACAAGGCTAAAACAGAGGGTTTGTGTAACAAAAGGCTTGTTGCCGGTTGAATAAAACTTACGCAGATATGTTCATGTGATGGTTGATAGTGGAGAGATTGTGTAATTTTGATCGGTTGTTGGATCTTTGTTTGGGGGTGTGGTCAAACTAGTCTGCGCAGGAAGAAGAATGCGAGAAAAAATGTCGTCATGTTTTGCTAGTGAATCGGAGGGTTGATGATTGGTAATGGACCAACCCTCGTTCCCATTTCCATACGACTTTACTCTTTAGGGTGGTGTCCTATGGTAAACAGTCTGGTTGTTGTGGCAAAGCCTCAAGATGTCTGAAAGCTCTCGAGTTGTTCATCACCCTTAGGGCATATGCAGCTGAGATGAACGGGTCAGTTGCTAGGCTCGGTCGTAGGTGTTTGTTGGGATTAGGGCTGCAAATGGGTTCAACTGCTCAAGAGTGGTTTGGTGTTTTAGTAGAAAAAAGCTTGCTCGAAATTCAGTTTATTTACTAACGAGTCGAGTTTGACTTAAACCTTATTCAGCTAGTGAGGTTCACGAGTTTGCTCGATTCTGTGGCTCTTTGAGTTTAACAGGTGAGCCGAGCTAGCTCGATTGTGTGGTAGTGAGCCAACCAACTAGTGTAGTATTACTATTACCGAATCGAACTATAGCTTATGAATTGGTTTGTTGATAGTTCATAAATTTGTTAGTTTGTACATTAATGGTTAAAGAGTTTGGGTATATGACCAAATATGTATCAATTACAATTTAGAAAGGGAAATTAAAAATCATTATGGTAAGCTAGAAATATGTTACAGTTTATTGGCGAGGCACTTTAGAAAGACCGAGACAGAGCACCCAATAGCAACAAAGCAAGAGTAAGGATGAGTACAAAAAGAACTAATCTAATTGTAGCTTATAGAACCTGCAAGTAGTTTAGCAAAAAATATTCACAAATACAACCTACTATCTACTTTCATGGACAATAAGATAATACTAGAATGACCCGCTCGCTACGCTTCGCAAGTAATATGAAGTCCAAATTTCGAAAGACTATGCAAGTAGCACTACTGTAATAGATAAAAGAGTCCAAAAGAGTGCGATTTAGAAGCATAAATATACATTAAAGGAATTACAGTGGATTCAGTCACGTTAACATTACATAGTTGTATGAATAAGGAAATATATCCTCCAAATAGAAAACTATAAACCCATGACCTAATAAAATAATGCAGCAAGAATGGAGAAAGGAGCAAAGAAAAGCACACATGGAACACCTATGAAAAAGCATAGTAGTTCTGGTTCATTGTACATATTTCAACTTTCTTCATCTTTTGTTTGTACTGCTCTACTACCTTGCACACCACCGCTAAGAAGTCAAGCAAATCACAATCCTGAAGTGATTGTAGAAAATCACAATCTCCAAATCATGAAATGCAACTGGATTACTAAGTTTATAAAGTTATGATAACCGCAACCTACTTAACCTGTAATTTAATCCATTTTGATATTGTATTCGTATTCTAAGATTGCAAACCAAACAAAATTTAAGCCATCTAAAAGCTACTAAAATGAAATTCCAATGACAAACATCAGAACACTATCAATTCAAAAGGACAATACAGGCAACTCTAAGTTAACAGTGAGGGCATGACCTAGGCATGAATCCTCACCTCCAATCAATATATAACTTGTCACAGACCAAGGCCAATTCAAACAAAATTTCACACAAAGACGGAATAATATTTGAAAGTAGAATACCATTAAAAGATCATATCCCAAGCATTGTCAGCAACCAATCCATGAAAATCTAAAGTAATTTTTTTTTTTACGAATAAATCTAAAGTAATTCTAAGTATTACAAATTTACAGCTATTATTAGAAACCTGATAATGAATTTAAGAATCAACAACGCTTAACAAATGAATAGCCTCATAGTTCCTTAACCCAAAATCTAGGTACCAGGAATAAAAAAAGGACAGCTTTCCTGGAAAGAGAGAGGCAAAATAGAAGAGCTTGCAAGCATTCCTGGTCATGATTCTCCTTTGCAACGTCGAGGTCACTGAGTCACAGCATAGAAGCAAGAATTTTAAACAGAGCGGTAATCAAGATCATAGAGAGGCGACAAAGGCAGAAAGTGATACACATTAGCAGAGGCAAAGAACAGAGTTTCGCCGACGAAAGTAAAACACAACAATGTTTGTGAGTGCAAAGAAAATAATAGAAAACTGAATTGCAGGTGAGAGCACAAAGAGGCGACAAAGCAAGAATTGCAGGTGAATTGCCAAAAAGATTGGTTAAGAAGCAGGAAGGTATATAGATTTTGAATTCCAGACATTCTAAATTCCAAACAACTCACCAAAATTACCAAAAGTCAGGAAAATTTCAGCAACCTCCCCAACACCGTAGATGCAACAACTCATCATCCAGCCATCTGATGTTCCGAAAATTCATAGAGCCTGACAACCAACTCGAAATCATTCAGCTGATGGAAACAAATGAAATTATTCCTAACAATTACAACATTTATAAAGCATATAAAAGGTTGATTTACATATATTATTTTTAATGATTATGTCAAGTTAATACTAAGGCAGCAGAAGCTTACTCTGCCGAGATCAAGGAAAATAAATTCTAAATTCATTACCATCGACTCTAAAAACGGATCCATAAGTGGGAAGTCTTATTGTCCCACTAATAACCAAGTATCCTAATCTCATGGAACCAAGTTCAGTAGGTATCAAAAATTGAACGACAGTGACAAAAATGTACGTTCAATAATTTGAATTATGTTTGTAAAAGTTAAAAAAAAAGAGAATACTTTGGGGTTTACGTAGTTCATCAGTGTTCACTGAGCAGCTTAAGATAGCATAATCAACCTCACCGAACCTCAAATAGAATGAAAATGGCAGTGCACTGTAGGGGTCGAGCAAAAAAACAAAAAAAGAACATATAAAAGATTTTTAATGGGAAATAGCAATTATTATGAACGTGTAAACTTAGAGTTCATGAGAATAGTGACAAGTCTAGCCTTGGCATCCTGATAAGCTGATCTTTATCACCATCTCTCTAAGGTTACAAATTCAACACACAACAAAATGGCAGCATGCTGATACACCATGTTCATTCTTTGTCATATCTTGAATTGGCTTTTGCCAATCACTTTTTTCATTATTCGTCTTAGTGGCAAAAATAAACCACACAAAGAAAAGGGCAACACAACCAAAACCGAATGCTAATTTAACATGTAGATAATTGCATTATTGGCAACACTTGTATCAGTACTTACATTCAGTAGGTAGCTCTAATAGTCTCCACTTCATTGAGATATGAGGAATGTGATGTTAAATGAAAAAGAATAAGCGATACTGCTGTCAAGTAGAGTAGTCTAGTTAGTATAGTCATATAAGGGGGGAACAACCCCTTAAGGGACATAATTACCAACCAAGGGGACAAATATGCAATGTAAAGGCAACTGCACACAAAATGCAGATCACGACATTATGTGTGATGGTTCAATTTTGTCCAGTCCTCAACCTTTATATAACATGAGCATTTAATTTTCTTATTAACTTTGCTAAGAATGTAGAACTGTTAGTGGCACTACCTTCTCAAAAACACTTAGAAAGCAAGCAATATATTATTGCACAGCAACATTCATAAACCGTAAAAATACTCAGATTCATGAAAATATTAGGATCTAAGGTGGAGCAAAATAAAGATCACTTCTGTCATAGCAAAAACTGCAAAATTCACAGAGAACAGTGGCTAACCTGGACCTACTTCAAAAGCACATATATGCTTTCTGGAGTTGCTGCTCCCAATCAACTGTCCTCCCCAGAAGTTATAGTACAGGTACTCCAGTTTTTGGTTAGTCCAAAGGCAAGCATTACCTGCACATTTATGCACCACTTACATTTAATAGATAACCAAAACTACCATTTTGATCTCAATAAGAAAAAGAACACAGACCTAAAAATCCCATGAAGAGGTCACACGTAAGGGAACTGACATACATTTTTTTATGGAGTTAGACTCAAAGGACAGTTAGAATAGGGGAAGTCCCCTAACTATGTTTCCCCACTATTATTAATCAACCTGCCATTTGTGAATGACCTCTACCGAGTTTTCCACACTCGGAAATCAAACGAAAGGGAAAAAGAAAGCTTAAATGGGTCGATCATGGACGTCAATGCAGATATAGAACCCAAAATACGAAAAAGGTAAAATCGAGAGCTCACGTTCGTTTATACAACTCCCTTGACTCTTCTCACAGTAAATCCGGAAGATAGAGAAAGAGAGTCCTAACATAGAAGTTCCTCCACCGAATGAATCTTTGACAACAACAAAACTAATTAGATCAAAGTGAAACGGAGGGAGAAACTTCAAATGTTGTTTCTGGTTCGCTTGCCCGCTCTGACGACTCTAAAGTTCAGATCGATTGTCAACTCCAAAACACAGAATCACTGTCCGAAATAGCAAACAAAAGAGATGAATCATAAAGATAAAACAGAAGGGAAAAAATGAGAAGGAAAAGAGACTATGCCTAGCCACTGTCTCAAGAGGATATGATTACGACGATGTTGCGAACGGTGTCTTACCTCCCCAAATCCTCATCAGCGAATTTGATTATAAAATCTCCAAGACCAGACATGCTCTTCTGAAACAGGAAGAGAGAGCATGATCACATTCAAGAAAAATCAGAAAACAATAACCTAAAAACGATAACCCAAAACATCGAACCTGCTTCTTCCCCAACCCGACCGTCAATCTCTCAAACCCGACAATCAATCAAAACCTGAAACCCAACTCATATATGATAGGGGAATGGGAGGAAAAAGCCAAGGAATTGCCATTCAGTAACTGCAGAAAAAAGGGAAAAAATGGCAGGAGAAAGGAGGAGGAGGGTGGGGGAGAGAGAGAGAAATGCGTTCACGACGACGGGAGGGAAGGTTTCGCAAGGCAGACATCTAACGGTCCAGCAGCATTTCGCTGAGATTCCACGATCAACTCAGCTCTCAGAAAATCCCATCAACTCAAAGGGCAAGAGAATCAGCATGCTCTGGCTGGAGAATCGGC